TTTGTCTCTGCTTCTGAAGGTAGTAATCCTAGAGCAGCTGATCATTCTATTTTTCCCCTTCGAACTTCTAGTATCTCTATCTTTATATTTAATCTCTGACTTTAAATATCTAGCATGACTCTCTTTTGGTGGCTATACCTTGACAACAAATAGTTCCTTCCTCTGTATACGAAAAATAACTAAAAGGGGTGGGAGGTGCAAGGCGCTTATAGAGGCTTGTCTTCCTACAGTACAAGTATCATTTAACAACTTGTCGACCCTGTAGAAGAATCCACATTTACTGGGCTTGTTATCAAACTTTGAACGCAAACTCATTTCCATGTAGGCCAGCAGTTCTCAACCTGTGGGTCGTGACCCCTTTGGGGGTCGAACGACCCTTTCACAGGGGTCGCCCAATTCATAAGAGTAGCAAATTTGCAGTGATGAAACAGCAATGAAAATAATTTTATGGTTGAGGGGGTCCCCACAACATGAGGACCTGCATTAAAAGGTTGAGAACCACTGATCCAGGCGATTCTGACTCAGTGACGCTATAGGAAAGGTAGAACTGCTCCTGTGATTTGCTGAGACTTTAACTCTTTATGGAGTAGAAAGCCTGCCTTTCTCCCATGGAACTGGCTAGTGGTTTGGAACTGCAGACTGGGGATCACAGTCCAATGTCTCATCTCTACACTGTGGACGCCATTACAAGATGGCGCCGGACCGCGCCCGCATCGTCAGAGCTAAGCTGTAAACAAGCTTGTTGCGCATGCGCTGCCAGCCGCTCGCTACGCATTATCAAATTGCACCAATCCTGGTAGGACACGTCACCAAGCAGGGTATTTATACCCGGGGTTTTAGGAGCTTGGGGTCTTCCGCAGCTGACTTCGGGCTCAGAAGCAGCGACAATAAACTTCGCAGATTGCATCTACCAGAAGGGTCCTGACCATTCTTGTCTCGGTCCGTGCTGCGCCGTATCATCCGCGCGCCACACTACACCACCAAACTCACTACCATCAAGTCAGTACTGCCTCAGAATGACCCTGTAGGACAGAGAAAAACTGCCCTTGTGAGTTCCCGAGACTGTAACTGTTTACCAGAGTAGAAACCCCAGTCTTCCTCCCACGGAGCAGCTGGTAGTTTTAAACTGTAGACCTTGAGGATCACAGCCCCGTGCATAATCACTACAGCCCAGTGCCTAATGACTACCCCACCAGTTAGATAAATAGATGGATGGATAGATACATAGATAGATATACATACATATGTATGACACACATATATGTATGTGTGTTTATATAGATAGACACATATACCTCTATTAATTATGTATTATTAACTATTGCATAATTTATTTCCTATTTATATTATCTTGATTATTTTTATATAAAAATGTGGATTAACAGTAATATAATATATATTCTCATATAATCAATTATATTGATAATGATGTATATACAGATTAGCCACGTCACTGAACTAGTTCCTCCACAAAAGCACGAGTGTGCAGCTAATTGGATATCGATGTGAAGTGAACACCAGAGGTGTGATTTCTGATCTCCTGCTCCCGGGCTGATCTGGGAGAAATTCTTCAGCTCTCTGAGCTTCACTTTACTCCTTTGTAAAATAAGGGGCCTAAGTTACATGATTTTTAAGTGTCCATGTAGCTTTAATTTTGTGTGAGTTACAAAATCTCTGTCCATTTCCTTAGCTGAAAAAAATCATAAAAATAAATGGCAACTTCTCACCTTATCTTCAATGGAGAAGTTTGTGTTGAAGGCATTATTTGAGACTGAGTGTGAAGACGAACTCTCTGAACCAAACTCTGGAGACTCTGGCTGTACTATAAGTACTGTGTCAAGTACAAAAGATGCAGAGCTGTCTAAGAATTCACAATCCAGTAAAGGGACAGAAATATAACCCTCAAAAATGGTAACATTGTAGAAGATAGGCAACAAGAAAGGCGAGCAGTACAGGAGAAGTTCAGGGAAGACTGGGAGAATCAGCTAGGCTTCCCAGCGTAAAGTTATAAAGGAGGAATAAGAGTTTGCTAGAAAAGACAGGTATCCTTCTTCCAGCCAATGGATAAACAGCATTGCAGAGAAAGAGGATTGTAGGCTCCTGGTACTTTCAGCAATTCTGGAGCTTAAAGTGCGTTGGAGGCTGAAGCGTGGAAAGGACCGCGCCTAAGGATGGCCATTTCATTGGGAGAGGTTTGGCCCTTCTCCTGTAGCCCCAGGTGACGACTGCAGAGTTTTAAGAAGAATGACACCATTTTGTTTTAGAAAGGTCATTTCAGAAACATTTATTCTAGCAGCTACATGTAGAACTAATTAGAGGCTGGCAGCTAAGCTAAGAGTGTATCGCAGTCAGTCATCTGGGCCAGGGATGATGAGGGCTGGACCCGGCGAGGAGCCGATGAAGAGTGTAGATTTTAGAAATGCTTTGCTGTTAAATCCACTGGACACTCTTTTCTCCTTAACTGACTTGACCGCTCAGCAGTATTTAGCACTAATGAGCTCACCATCCCTTTTAAAAGCCTTTTTCCCTTGGACATCTATAAAACTGATGTTCTTCCTACTCTCTCTCTCTCTGTCTCTCTCTCTCTCTCATCTTAACTTTCCTTGCCCAGCCCTAAGGTTTAGTATTTTCTGGGGTCTGTCTTTGACCATTTTCCTTTCCCACACTTCTGACTCCCCATTTATTCCATTTCCTTTTTACACTTCAAATGACAATTATTTCCAAATCCGCGTCACCTCCACCTCTAGTCCCTGTCCTGCAGCTCAGACTTTTATACCTGAGACCCACCAGACATCCGGGAGCTCTGTGCAAACAAGGTCAAAGTGTGACTTGCACAAATTAGTGATTTTGCATGGGCATGAATCCGAAGATGTGTATGCGCGAGTATGTGTGTGTGCATTTGTTTACAGGAGCAAAATGCCTGAAAACATTCATAAATTAGCTGAGAGTTTATGAGGGGAGCAGACTTTTACTTTTTTAATTTACTTGTAAATATTTGTCTGAAATTTTTAGAGTGAACATGAATTGCTCTTGTGAGTTGAAAAAAACAACCCCTAAGGAACTACAAAGCAAGATTTGGGGGGCATTGCAAATCCTTCCTCATTTGTTCTGCTTCCTCCTGGCTCTGCCTTTTTCAGGCCTTTCCTCTTTTAAAACCTTAAAAGATCACTTCCTCTTTAAAAGCCTCACAGGACCAAGTTCAGACTTCTCAATAGGGCCCTCAGCCCCTGCACACTGTGGTCACCAGTTTTAGTGCCTACTGCACATCCTTCCCCTCTTGCAGACACACTGAGTGCTTCGCCCTACACACAGTGTGCCCTTCACAGAACAATGCCTTTGTCTCGTGGCTTCTGTCTGCAATCCTGTTCCTCACTTCCTTTCCCCGGAAAATCTCCTTTAAATCTATCTCAGGGACATTCCCCCGACTCTTTCAAACAGTTACCACGGTCCCTACTTTGATATAACTCCCTCTTAGCATCTTTCACGATGAATTGTCATGCATAGATGTTCCTAGCTCCACACAGCTGAGGGTTCCACAAGCATAACAATCCAGCCCTTGCAAGTCCAGCTCTCCTCCACACATGGTGCTTTGCCTGCCTCATAGCAAATGCTCAATTAATGTTTATTAAATAAATGAGAGAATTAATGAGTAGTTATTCTTGGGAGATTGGGGGCAGGTTAATTTTGTTTCCTCTGCCTCCCTTCTCTTTCTGCCCATATCCCATTTCCAGGCCTGCACTCCATCCACTCCGGCACCTCGGCAAGGCTCCTTCCAGCAAAGTGTCAGCTTGTCCCCACTGATGCCTCTGCTGAGGTATTTGAAGACACTCTCCTTAAGAAACTTGCCAGCTATTTGCCCTCTGACACTACTCACTAAATAGTCCATTCCTTTTTTCTCTCTTTTTTTCCATGATAGTACTTTAAGTAAAATGAGTTTCATTTCTTTTCCACAAAAAAACATCTTGGATTCAGCATATCCAATGGTTATCGACACATCCATCAGTGAGAGAATAGTGATCTCAAAGGAATTGTCACGATGGAATTTGAGTTACAAAGCAGGGGAAATTCTTTATATATTCTATGTTTGAGAAAATGATTTAGTACTCCTCCTTTTCAAGTACATGAAGGTAACAGAGTTTCATCCACAATCAAAAATACTGTAACTGATTCCGATGCTAGTACCTCCATACAGGTTATGGTTGCGTGCACCGGAATGCTCCCAATCCACAGGGGAAATCAAAAAGCAGTGGGGTGGTTTCTCATACTGATACCACTGTGAGTTTTACCTCGTCTCCATTAACACATTGAGTTTCTCCCACAGAACAGATATCAGAACGTACTGTGAATGAGAAAACAATAGTGGCAGAGATGTTAGTGTAGACTTTGAGTTGCAAATATGTAAAGTCACCTGTACATCCTATCTCCCCCCCAATTTAATGTAACTTCTCCAGGAATATAGGATTAACTACTTTTTTTATGGGGTTTTTTTTTTTCACATATAATTCACATAGAGAATTCAATAGTTCAACTCTTTATTTTCTTATTTTAAAAAAATTGATGCTCTTCAGAATTATCCACCACGAAGTTGTAAGAATTTAATGGGACAGTATCGGTCAAGCAACCAGTAAAGAATTTGAGTCCCAACAGCAAACTCAGCAGGGCCTCTATTCCCCTTCATTCTTCCCACTCTTCTTCTCCTTTTAGCTCCTGAAAATAAGAAAAACCTAGCCATTTTCTAAGGGACTGGTCACAAAGATGGTGGTTGTTGGTATCCATGGAGACTCCTGTGTGTAGATAAGAACTGTTCTGTAAGATTTTCAAGGTGGTAACTGTTCAGAGGCAGATCACCAAGCCTGTCACTGCAGACATATCTGCTCATCTTCCAACTAGTGGTCAAGTGCTGGTCCGTCTGTGTCACACAAGCACTCCTTAATGAAGGCAATAGTAAGCAGTAGTTGAGCCAGTAAGGACAAAATGTTCTGAGCAAGGACCTTGCTTGGTGGTCATTAACAAGGCTATTAGAACACAGTTTCTGATTTGCTGTGGACATGACCACAAAAAATTTCCCAGGAGGTTTTTGTCTGTTTTTGCTACCTGGATAGCATACAGTCAATTGGGGACATCAATTGCTGGGATCTATACTAATAGAAATATTAAAGCTGCACATATTTTAACAGGATCTATCATTATAGTCAACCAAAGTTTGGTTTTGTGCTACTTAAAATAAAAAGAACCTTGCTTGGACCCATAAACAACTCTACCCTCTGGTCACCTCTATTACAGTTCCTCACCTACACCCGTCCTTCTCCCCCTCCAAAGCCCTTTCTCTCGTCCATCTTCTCAATCTGGCTCAACTGACCAGTTCTTTGAGGGTCACCACCTCTTTAATCAGATCTGATGCTCCAGGGAGAATCAGCGACATATTTTGTGCTCCCACATGACCTTGTACCCATCTGACTACCTCACTATATCTGGAGTATCTGACTATACTCCAGGTTCCATTCCTGAGCCTCGTTCCCTCCACTAGAAGAAAATTTCTTCCAAAGTGGCATTTTCCATAATGTGTAAGAGATTCTGCTCTGGAAGATGACCCAGCACTTACATCCAAAGCTAAAGTGTAAGTAAACAAAACTAATTACAACACAATTTTAATCCAAAAGTAGCATTTGGAGCAATAAAGGGGATTTTATTGCATTGTTTCAGCCCACAGAGTTGATAGATAGACACCATATCATGAGGCAATGTGGTGGGATTTCTTGAATCTTCTCTCTATATTGGAATTTCATTTCTACCTTAGATAAATCTCACCCCCTGGGGGGATTTTCAGAATATCAGGACAATTAATGAAAAAGAAAGCCCTGATAAAAACAATTAACAGCTCAAATGATATCCAGAGACAGTTATGTAAGGATAAAGATGTAAAATCCAACTGGTATACCACTCTGGGCTTGTGCTGTGTCAAGGTGTTTGTAGAGGATGTAATTATTGTTCTCTAGGGCACTTTCTGAGAAACATTTCAAAAAATGGCATTTAACGTGACAGTATAGTAGATTAAAGGGGGGAAAGTAACCAGATTTACACAGACATCATCAAAAAGGAGATGCAGGCATGCTGAGACAGGAGCTAACTCCTTCAAGTATGGCTGATGCCCATTCTCTGACCTGCAGCTTGTAAGTTTAAGGGAACAGGTAGCCAGTAAGTACCTTCAGAAAGACAATGGCAGGATACTGTGATAAAACTATGCAGAGATTTCATGACATTTCGTCACTCAAGATAAAGACTCCAGCTGGCAAAAGCAAGCGTTAACCAGAAGATAGGGACTTTCCCCTGAATATAAACTGCACTTTCTGGATACAGTTTTTCTTACTGTATGCTGTCCTTCATATGACCTACATGTTCAAACTTAACAACAATTGTCAGGATGGCGCAGGGCCAGGCAATGTTTCATTCTCTTGTACATAGTCGTTAAAGTAGAACCACTGAGACAGTACCTAACCAAAGAAACACTGGGTGCACCTAATCTTTAACAGCAAGCCCAATTTTCTGAATGTCACATTGCCTCCTAAATATTAAGGAAATATTTTTAATGTATAACCTACTTTCCTAGAGAGTAATTTGATCATACAACATCAGAGGCCTTAAAAATGTGCCTGTCTTTGACCCACAAATTTATCATCCCAGGGTTTACCCTAAAAAGATTAGAGCTATGTGCATATGTGTGTGTGTATAAAGATAATCACTGCAGTAAAAAAGAGTTAATTTCTAAATGATCCATCCACTACAAAAACTTAAATAATGGTAGTCAGTTCCCATATTATAACATCTAAATTTGGGTTACGGAAATATATTTACTAAAAAAGAGAGAAATTCATAGTATAGTATATCAGAAAAGAAGATGCCAAAGCAATAATAATAGAATGATCTCACTCTTGTGAGAAAATAATGCGGTAGAGGTCTTATTTCATAATTCAGAGACTGGTCAGCTAAAATTAAAGTTAAAACTTCTTAAAGTGCTAATACAATGGCAAAAAGGGAATGTATACATAGCTTAATTTTTTTTTTTGCTTTAACCAAAATATGCAAATATGTAGGGTCTCCTACCATTCATTTGATATAGGGACCAAAATATTTTTCTTTTTTCTTTCTTACTTGCTTTTTTCTTTCTCTTTCTTTTCTTTTCTTTCTCTCTCTCTTTTTTTTTTTTGCATAAATTTCATTTTACAGTTCTGCAACCACTGTCTTCATGTGCTCACCTGTCAAACACTTTATTTCAAGTCAAAGGCAAAATCCTGGAGACTTCCAAGGAGATGGCAACTAAGTAACACATACCAGAGTAATTCCACAGAAAAAAGCACAGGACAGTTACTAAGAGGAAATTACACACTGCCGGGTCACAGAAAGAACATCATAAAGATAAGTAGGCACTGATCCACTACATTTTGAGGGGCTGGGGGCTTTTGGCTTACCACAGTGGAGGCCGGCTAGGGTGTGACCTTAGCCCCGGCACTGTGTCGGCTAGAGCAGAGATCATTTTGAGCCGGTGCAGGGGCTTTATCTCAACACAGCCACAGCTGGCTGCCACCTCAGGACAGGGATGAAACACCTCCAGCCCCACAGTCAGGGATAGCAGCTCAGCCATATGGTTACTTTGGTTTTCCTCTCTTCTATCTGTCCCCCCACCGACTCAGCTGGCTTAGTTGTTGTTGTTTTCTTTTTCTTTCTTTTCTTTTTATCTTCCCATTTCTCTCACATGCCACAGCCCACCTCCTGACCACTCCCCTTATTCTAAGGCAGTTATGCCTGCCTTCCACCCAACTGGGAGAGCTCCATCCTCTACAGCATAACCCAAGGTTGGGTAAAGTCCGCCCACCCTGAACTAGGGGATATCCCACCCAACTTCTTTCTGGGGAAATCCCACCCTGTGCAGTGCTTAACAGGAGGCTAGGGAAATGCAGCCCACTTTCTTCAGGGGAAATCTTGCCTGCATGGCTGGGGGGGCTCCTATCCATCCTCTGGGGTTCCACATGACTGAGGGAACTTTCTCCTACCTGCCATCGTGTCTCACATGGCCTACAGCAGCTCAACCAACACTCAACAACATTCCACACTGCTGTGGGAACGTCTACCCAAACTCCACAGTGATCTACCTGAGCAGGTCAATTCTGCCCACCATTTGTGGTACTCTACACCAAAGCAGGCAACCAATCAGCCTTCTGTGGCACTTTCATTGCAGGGGATACCCCCACATGCCCTCTGCAGCTCCCCTAGCTGCCGTGGGACACACCATCATGGCTCCTTGTGAGATCACCCTCTACAGCACCATCCTTGTGGGTCCACAACAACTAAACCAACATCCCCTGATAAGGCCAACCACCTGCTCTGCAAATAACAGAATACTGGTTGACTAAGGAAAGAGTGAAGCCACAGGAGGATAAAGTGGTAGGTCAATTCCATAGTGAAATTAGCTGCAGGCAGTTCGAAGAAGCATTCCTATGAGTCTCCCAGAGAGAGCACAGTGCTCTTCAACTCCCTGGAAAATGGCACCTGCCTCCTATAAAACAATGCAATGCAAATAACAATCCGCCCCAACAACCTGAACAACAAAAAAAGAAGAAACAAAAGTCAATGGCAGAAGATGTCCTGAGCATTAGGACGTGTATAGAAGAAGCAGATATTGATCTGCCACAGAAAGAAATTTTCAGAATGTTGCTTGGACTAATACAGGATGAGAGGGAAACAATACAAAAAAAAAGGATGAAATGATAGAGGAGATAAAATCCATACACCAAAGGGAAATACAAGAGCATAGGGCCGAGATAACAAATACCAGTAGCATCCTCACGGACTTCACCAATCAACGAGAGGACGCAGAGAACCATACCAGTGACCTAGAGGACAGCCTAGCAGATTTTACCAAATGTGAACAAAAACCTAATACGATCATCAAAGAACCTGAAGAAAATCTAAGAGCTATGTCTGATACAATGAAGCAGAGAAACATCAGAATAATTGAATTATCTAAGGAAGACACAGCAAAGAAGTCATCTGCAATAATAGTGAGAGAATACTTGGAGGTAAATTTCCCCAGCTTAACGAATGAAAATCAGGCACCCATTCAGGAGGCTGAAAGAACACCAGCTACACTGAATCCCAAGAAGACGTCACCAAGGTACATAATAGTTAAACTATCCAACTTTGAGGAAAATCATGAGAGCAGATAGGGAAAAACAAGCAATCAAATGTCAAGGTTCCAAAATTAGAATATGCTCAGACCTATAAGGGACACTAAGTAGAAGAGGAGAGAGTGGAGTAACATATTCCAAAAATTGAAAGAAAATCACACAAACCCAAGAATACACTACCCAGCCAAATTATCTATCAAAATAGATGGAGAAGTAAGAGTCTTTCCATACAAGGGAAAACTCAAAGAATACATTAGAAGAAACCCAGCCCTACAAAAGATCCTTGCTGACCCAGTGTAGGCAGAAGAACAGCACTCACCAAGCATAAATAAGAGACTGCCACATAGAGCAACCCCACTCAGAGAGCAACAAAGAGAAAGCAGCCCCCAAGATAGCACTGGTTTAAGGGTGGAAAGAAATCAAGAATGAACCCCAGACACACACATGCACAACACACTGATAGGAAAGGAAGGTAGGAAAACACACAACACAAAAGGTATGAGATGATATTACAGAGTCCACAGATGGAGAAAATAGCCCTGAATATCAATGGACTGAACTTGGGCATTAAAAGACTGAGTGAGGGCAGCAGATTGGCTTCGAAAACACAGCCCATCAATCTGCTGTCTACAGAAGACATATCTCAAGACTACAGACAAAAATAGGCTGAGAATCATAGGCTGGAAAAAGGCATACCAAGGAAACAGCAATTGAAAAAAGCTGGGGTTGCAATCCTAATCTCAGATAAAATTGACCTCAAAGTGAAAACCATAAAAAGAGATAAGGAAGAACACTACATAATGCTCCAGGGAATGGTAGACAAAGAACCACTAAGCTTTTAAACATATTCCCTGAAAGAGAGACCCAATGAATACATCAACCAAACACTCCAAAAGATGAAAAAATAAATCACAGCCTCAACAATTATAGTAGGTGACTTCAA